GATACCACTTCCCACTCTGGTGGCTCTGACAGTAAAGAATCTGCCTGCAGTAGAGGAGACCCAGGTTCACTTCCTGCATTAGGAAGATCTCCTAGAGAATGGAATGGCTACCCACTCCAGTATACTTCTCCAAAGAATCCCATGGACTGAGGGGCCTGGCAGGCTACAATCATTTGGGTTGCAAAGAGTTGAACAGGACTGGGCCACTAATACACACCCATTAGGATGACGATCACCATAATAATTAAACAAAATATATGTTGGCAAAGATGCGAAGAAACTGGAACCCTGGAATCTTTGTTTGTTGCTGGTGGGAATGTAAAATGGTACAGCTGCCAGGGAAAACAGTCTCACAGTTCCTCAAAACGTTCAACACAAAATTACCATGTGACTCAACATTTCCACTCCCAGATAGACACTCAAAAGAAATGAAAAGATGTTCATACAAACACTTGTACAGGAATGCTGACAGCACCATGATTCAGAATAGCCAAAAGGTGGAAACTACCAAAGTCTATCCATGAATGAAAGACAAAACCTGATTTGGCCTTGCAATGGAATGTTACTCAGACTGGGGCCTGAACAGTATGGAGGTTCCTCAGAAAATTAAAAATAGAACAATCCAAAACATTATAAGTCAACTCTATTTCAATAAAAATATAGAACTAATGTATGCTCCAGCCATTCCACTCTTGGATATTTATCTGAAGGAAACAAAGCTGTTCTTTTGAAAAGATAGCTGAGAATTCCCTGGTGATCCAGTGTTTGGGACTTGGCACCTTCATTTTGGGGGCCGGGTTCAATCCCAGGTTAGGAAACTGAGTTCTTGCAAACTTGCAGCTTTAAAAAAAAAAAAGGAAAGAAAGAAAGAGGAATTCCCTGGTGGTCCAGTGGTTAAGAATCCACTGTCCAATGGAGGAGTTGCAGGTTTGATCCCTGGTCAGGGAACTTGCACAGAGCAATTAAGCCTGAGTGTGGCAAATAGGAAGCCTGCTCGCTAAAACAAAGAGCCTGGGAGTCAAAAGAGTAAAAAGATGTCTGGACCTTGTGTTCCTAGCCCTGTTACAACCTGGGGGTGAAATCCTCTAGTACCTTTCATAAAAGCAGTGGGAAAGGATTCCTGGGTTGGAAGAATAGCATGTATGGAATGCAGAGAATAAATGAAGTTCATTCATTCAACCAATACTGTTGACCATCTGCCTGTAATGACTGGACACTGATTCAGGTACTGAGGCTGAGAGGTTCCCTGGCCTGGCACTCATGCAAATGGAGGTGATATAATCAAGTCAGTCAAAAGAATTTCAACCAGTGAATGAGTTTCAGTAATGAAGCCATTAGAGCAAGTGATGGAATGATTAGGCTGTGGCCCAGGATGGAAGGGGCCAGAGGAGCATTGGGGAAAGGTGTTTTTTTGTTTTTTTGTTTTTTTTTTTTAATTTCCCTGATTCTGGGAAAGATTGAAGTCAGGAGGAGAAGGGGAAGACAGAGGATGAGATGGTTGGATGGCATCACAGACTCGATGGACATGAGTTTGAGCACGCTCTGGGAGTTGGTGATGGACAGGGAAGCCTGGCATCCCACAAGGTTGCAAAGAGCTGGACATGACTGAGCGAATGAACTGAACTGAATGTATTTATTTATTTATTTATGGTTGCACTGGGTCTTCGTTACTACTTGGACATTTTTCTAGTTGCAGATAGCTGGCTTCTCATTGCAGTGGCTCCTCTTGTTGTGGAGCACAGGTTCTAGGTGTGAGGGCTTCAGTAGCTGCTGCACTCGGGCTCCGGTGCATGGGCTTAAATGCTCCGAGGCATGTGGGATCTTCCTGGACCAGGGAAGGAACCACTGTCTCCTGCATTGACAGGCAGATTCTGACCCACTGTACCACCAGGGAAGTCCTCAGGAAAGCTTGTAAGTGGGGGCTGAGGCCCCAAGAAAGGACTGGCTCCATCAGGGATGAGAGGAAGTGAATTCCAGTTGAAGGGAACAGCATGGTGGTCACACCTGATCTCAGGATGAGTTCCGAGCAGGCATAGCTTCCTGGAGTGGGGTTTGGGTACTTCTGCCCTGGTGCACAGCCTCTGGTCTGCACTGGAGCCATTCCGCCCTTCCTGAGACTGCCTGGCACCCTGGAGGAAGCCCTGCCCTTCCCGGTGGCTTTGGAAAGGGGATGGGGGAGCATCTGCTTCCCTTTCTTTCAAGAAAGAACAAAGGGAGTGCAGATGGAGAGTGCAAGTGTCTTCTGCCAAACTGTCCCTCATTATCACCCCATCCTTATCTCAGGAAATGGCCCTCCACCCCTTCAGGACATCAGAGCAGGACCAAGGAGCTGACCTTGACTCTGCTCTGCCCTCAAGTCCCAAAAGTGCAATGTGCCCTGCTGCCAAAATGAATGCCAAATTGGACCACATCTCCAGTCTCCATGGCCCACTCCAGGCTCCCGGTTTCCTGATTCCACCCTGTCCTCCAGCAAACCTCCACCCCCCGCCCCCCACAGCTACTGTAGCTCCTGCTGTCTCAGGGGGTGCCTGTAAATGCCTGAGTCAGGGGTGTCTCCCCTCTGCTCGGAACCCTCCATGGCTCCCACTTCACTCAGAGGAAAAGTCAGTTCTCCCTAGCCCATGCTCTGCTCATTCCCTCCCTGCCCGCCTCTCCCCCAATTCCCTCCCTCCGTGCACTTTAGCAACAGCAGCCTCCTGGCTTTTCCTTAAGTCAATTCCAACCTCAGGGCCTTTGCACATCCAGTGCACTTTGCCTGGTACATTCCTTCCCTGATATAATCAGGACTCACTCCTCACCTCTCTCTATTCCTGGCTCAGTATCACCTTCTCAGTCTTTCCCACGATACTTTATTTAAAGTTTCCTGAACCCTCACATTTCCTCTTCCCTTCCCTGCTTTACTTTTTCTTAGCACTGAGCACAAGCTACGTCTCCATATGTTTTATTTTTTTAAACATTTATGCATTTATTTATCTGTGTTGAGTCTTAGTTGTTGCTTGGGTGATCCTCCATCTTCTGCTTCCACTTGGGGAATCTTTAGTTTTTCTCCTTGCGGAGCACAGGCTCTAGGGCGCTTGGACTTCTGTAGTTGTAGGACGGGGACTCAGTTAGTTGCGGCTCCCAGGCTCTAGAGCGCAGGCTCAATAGTCGTGGCGCACGGGCTTAGTCGCTCCAAGGCATGTGGGATCTTCTCAAATCAGAGATCTAACTCGTGTCCTCTCCATTGGCAGGCGGATTTCTTATCACTGAGCTACCAGGAAGTCCACACTCTAGGCTGTCAACACTGTTTAAGCCACTGTGGAGCTAGAGAAGAACCACGGTTTACGTTTTAAAACTGCCGTAAAACTTGGGCCGCGCGGGGGAGCTCTCCGCCCACGCACTAGGAGCTGGGTCCAAAATAAACAGTGATCTGAACTTGCTAAAAACCCGCCAGAAAGTGACCCCAGCGGAGGATTTTCCCAGACCTTCCCAGGGACGTCCCCGGCCCCGACTCGGCACTTTTTCCCAGGCCTTTTTGGGCGGGAATTCAACACCCTCCACCCTTAAGAAGAAAGATCTCCGTGGAAATTCCTTAGGAACAATCTGGGCTGAGCGAGGAACGCTTTTCTGGCTGGGCAGTGAGTCGCAGCCCCTTCCCCGGGGGACGGGCTCGAGCGTCCCTGAGCGATCCTCCCTTCCCCTTCTGCCGCGCGACCTTCTTGGCCCTTCTCTGGTCTCCATGGCGACGAGGCGCGCGCCCCACAACAGGAAGCCTAAGGCGGCGGGGCTCCGTGCTTGGAGACTCCAGGATCCCTAGCCTTGAAGGGGCGGTTGCCGAGTCTGTGGACCACCCGCGCAGCCGTGGCCTGAAGCTGGGGGCAATAGCGAGCGAGCGCTTAAGTGCGCAACGCGGGACCTCCCAGCATCCCGCGCCCCCTCCCTCCAAATGCAAATAGAACAAGCCCGGGAAGAACACCCGCACAGATTTACTGCTGGCGCCTGGGGTTGGAGTTTCAGAAGCTGCGCGCGGAGGGCGGGGGTTTGAGCGCCCCCTCTCCTCCCCCATTCCGGGGCCTGGGAGCTGCCTCAGTTTCCCTGCAGAGGGCAAGGGTTCGAGCGCCCCCGCTCCCCGCCTGGGTCAAGGTCTTTGTCCTCAGTTTCCCCGTGGAGCCTGGGAACAGCAACTCGCTGCGTCAGGACCATGAGGCTTCCTTCTTTTTTTCCCTAAAATCTGTAAAGACGCCCCCGTGGCCGAGGTCCAGACTGAAAGGGGAAGCGATGAGTGGGGGAGTAGGAGCGCCCATCCGTGGGGGATGCAGCGTCCCGGATGTGATGCGCCTTTAGTCTTACCCTCCAGGGTTCACAGGCGTCTGGAAGTGCCTGGGCCTGCTGCGGTCGCTTCTCGAGAAATCTCGGTGTCATCTGGGCGGGTACTTGCCCCTCAGGGTAGGGGTACCCGTGATCGAGAGCGCCCCAGGAGGATCCTGGGCCCCCACCGAAGTGAGGGACGGTCCACTCGATTAGAAGCCTGCTTGCGCTGGGGAGTTAAGACTTGAGTTCGAATGCCCTCGAAGCTGGAAGCCTCAGTCTACCCCTCCGTGGAAGGGACACGATAACAGTCCCTACCGTCCAGGGTGGTTGGCAGGATCCAATAAAGCGCTTAGCGCAGTGGAAACGCAAACTCAAGGTTAGCCTGGCCCGGGGACAGGAACCCTAGCTCTGGGAGCCGACCCCGGGTTATTTTTTGGTTGCCGCCGCCAGGCAGCCCTCACGACTTGAATTCGGAAATTCCGGTGCTGAGCGGCCAGCGAGGAGGGACAACCCGACTCTGGCCAGGCACCCTCTCAATCCGGAAATGCCAGGGCCCTTGTTCCGGAGGGGAAAGCATGAGGTTTCCGGGAAGCACCGCCCCCTCGGCCCCCCTCAGCCTGCCCATGGGTATAAAAGGACTCGCGAAGCCCTGGGCCCCAGTCTTAGCCGAGCGTCTCCGCCGCAGCTTGTCCGCCCCGCCTCTGCCTGCGATGGCTCCCGGCGCCGCCCCTGCCGCGCAGCTTGCGTTCCTGGCCCTGCTCGGGACTCTGCTCCCAGGTGAGTCAGGGTTGAGGGCTGCCGTCGAGTCAGCTTTCGGGATCCGAGATGCGCCCTGAAGCCGTGGGAGGAACGGCTCCCGACCGGCTGGGAATAAGGCCATTCGTGCTCAGGTCGCTGTTTCTGGGAAGTTGGGGTTAGAAGACCGATTGAAAGTCAACAGCCGTGGGTTCCCACCCAGACCCCTCATGGCCCGACTGTGTGCTCTGGGACCGCGGATTGCCCCTTCCGAGGATCTGCAGGTTTTCCGCTGTAAAATGGAAACGTTAACAGTGGCCAGCTCGTAGTGATTTTGTCCTGGCCCCAGCAGGTGGTCTGACAGTGTGGACACACGCCCCAACCTTAGGTGGACTGGACACCCCCCCACCCCGCCATGCACATTCTGTTCCTCACCCTGTGCCCCTGGGGGAAGTCCGGGACTCTGCTCAGGGGAATTCCAGGGCTGACTTGCCCAGGGAGGACAGGTTGAGAAGTGGGATGCCCCAGCAGCCCTTCCTCGCCTCCAGCGAGGAGGAAGGGGAGAAGAGGAACTGTGCTGTGTGCTGTGCTAAGTTGCTTTAGTCGTGTCCAACTCTTTGCCACCCCATGGACTGTAGCCTGCCAGGCTCTTCTGTCCACGGAATTCTCCAGGCAAGAATACTGAATTCCCAACCCAGTCTCCTGAGTTGGGAGACTGGAACCCGTGTCTCCTTGGGCTCCTGCATTGCAGGCAGATCCTTTACTGTTGAGCTACCGGGGAAGCCCAGGAGAAGCAGGACAGCTGGTCTCAAATGGTGGTCACTTCGAAAAACAGGAGTGTGAAAAATCCACACCGTGGTTACCAGCTCCATGAAGAATTCTAACCCAGGCTCTAATCTGGAGTCTACCCCTTTCTAGCTGAGTAACCTCCCTTTGTGTGGGGGGCTCACCAGGCTCCTCTGTCCAAGGGATTTCCGGGCAAGAATACTGGAGTGGGTTGCCATTTTCTCCTCCAGGGGATCTTCCCAACCCAGGGATCAAACCGGGATCTCTTGCATTGGCAGGCGAATTCTTTACCACTGTGCCACCTGGGAAGCCCCAGCATCCCTTCCAATCTCAAAATTTCCTTCTGAAATGGGAAGGGTTCCAGAATCATCCTTGGAGAATTCAAAGAGCTGCTGTTTCCCTCCATCCCAGATGGAGTAGACCCAAAGTTGAGGGCAGAAATCTTTTTTTTGGGGGGGGGTGGCGGGCAAGTAGGACGGATGGGCTCAGAGAGACATTTTTTCAGCTTTGAAAGTGCCATGGGCTGAGGGAGCTCATCAGAACAGACCTCTTTCTTATCTGCAGCCACTGCCTGCCTGCCCTGTACTAGGAGTTACTTGTGTCAGCGGAAGTTGTGGTGACTGTATTTGCCCACTTTACAGATAGAGGAAAGTGAGGCCCAGAGAGGAGAAACCACTTGTCCAAGGGAGTGGGGACCAGCCTGATTGGAGCCCCTTCACCCCTGAAGGGCTGGCTCCCTCCCCTTGATCTCTTGGGATTGTAACATACACTGACTTCATGCCTGTCTTTTGCTAAAATCCTCCATGGCTGCTCAGAAGGTCCTCAGGATGAAGACCACATCCCTGGCATGGCTTAACACTGCCTGCATGATCCTCTTGACCCTGTTTCCCCCGACCTATCCCCTTACTCCACTCCAGCCACCCTGCCTCAGGATCTCTGCACTTGCTTTCCTAGAGGTCCTTTCCCTTTTCTCTGGAATGGCCCGCCCCTGCTCTGCATCCTGATCTCTGCTCACATATTCCCCAGTCACCAAGGCACTGTCTGTTCTCTCATCCAGTTTTGTTTTTGCCAAAACCCTTGTCAGCATCAGTTGTTAATTACGTTGTTTGCTCATGAATTTTTCTGTCTCCCACAATGAAGGCAGAGTTTTGTCTTGCTCAATGCTGTGTTCCCAGTACGGGCTGGATGCAGTAATATTGATGAGCCCCAGCTGTCATGCCTGACCACCCGCCCTTTTGATTCCAGGGCCTGGAGGTGCCAGAACATCAATACATCCTTCAAAAGCCATCATACCCCGTGGAGGCTCCCTGAGGGTGAACTGCAGTATCTCCTGTGACCAAAAGGCAACGTTTGGCCTAGAGACTGAATTAACCAAGAAGGTGGTGAGCCATGGGAACAACTGGAAGGTTTTTGAACTGAGTGATGTGCAAGAAGACATCAACCTGTTGTGCTACTCAAACTGTCGCAATGAACAGACAATAGCTACGATGAACCTCACCGTATACTGTGAGTGGCTGGGTCCAGGGCCTGAGCTAGGCAGACTGGGTGGGGGTGGTGGACAGGGGAGTCCCAGCAGGTTGGAACAACCTTTGTGACTTGGTGGGTGAAGTCAGGGTCTCACTGAAGAGCAGGGGTCTGTCTTTGGAAAGTCTTATTGTTGTCTGGAACCCTTCCTTGAACTTCCTTGGGCGTGCCTTGGGAGTATGGTCAGAGAATCAGAACATTCAAGAATGCTGGCTCTCTACGCCTCTTTAAACAGATGAGAAGGTCATAGATCTGACTCTTTAGAAAAAGATGCTGGGGGTTTCCCAGCAGTGGTTAGAATTCCAGGCTTTCACTACCTTGGATTGGGTTCAACCTCTGAGATCTACAATCCTGCAAGCCTCACAGCTTGACCAAAGGGGGAAAGAAAAGATGAGAATGAAAATTAGCCCTGAAATGACGCTTTTCCCTAATTGGCAACAATCCAGAGAATTGATAACGGCTGTGCTGGCAAGAGTGTGGGGATGCAGGTAATCCTGGGACATTGCTGACAGTGTGGGGGTGCAAAAAGCACAACTTCCAGTGGGGGAGGGGGTATCAGTCTTCAAAAATGTCACATAAGGGGGGTCCTTTAATAAAGAAAACCCACTCCTGGGAATTGGGCCAATAGATGTTCCTACCCATGAGGGAACAGAAAGGGGGTGGGGTTATTTACTGTGGCTTGATCTGGAAGGGCAAAAGTTTGCAAGCCACTCAAATGTAGGGAACTGGGGAAGGAAAGCAGTTCGATCATGGAATAGTATGCAACTGTATAAAAGAATGAGACCGCTCTCCCCAACCCCTGGCAATCACTAGTCTGCTTTCTGTCTCTGTGTTTTCCTATTCTGGACATTTTTTTTACATGGATCATGGAGTGTGTGGAGCAGTGTATCTGGCTTCTTTCACTTACTAAACTGTTCGAGGTTTATCCATGTTGCAGCATGTATTAGTACTTAATTCCTTTTATGGCTAAATAATATTTTATTGTATAAATGTAGAACATTTTATCTACCCATCAGTTGATGGCCATTTGGCTTGTTTCCATATTTTTAGGTGGGGTAGTGGTCACTCTAACGGAGAGAGAGTGCTGGTGGTTGATGGGTGCATTTAGGGGACTTCTGCCGTGACTAAAAAATTCTCCTATCTTGAGTAGTATTTACAAGAGTCCTAACCTTAAAGTAGTTATATTAACTTGCACATTTACTTTTTTTATTGTTTTCTGCTTCTTAGTATAACAATTAAAAATGTTTTTTAAAAAAGAATGAGATGAAAACTCCCAGGTGTAATGTCAAGTTCCAAAGAAGTAAGGTCCTGTCCAGAATCAGTAGTACCCTACCACAGTGTTAGAGAGCCACAGGGGCTAGGTGAGGAAGACTGTTTCTGCATTAAAGAGCCCTGAAAGGAAACACAGTAAATGACAATAATAGCTGGCTGTGAGGAGAGAAGCTGGGGGGCTCTGGGAAAGGACAGGGGGTCTAGTTTTCTCTGTGTAGAAAACTTTTGTTTCCTTTGAGCATTTTGAAGTGTGACAGTGAGTTAACATGAATATAAGCGATAAATCAGTTCAGTTCAGTTCAGTCTCTCAGTCATGTCCAACTCTTTGCAACCCCATGGACTACAGCACTCTAGGCTTCCCTATCCATCACCAATTCCTGGAGCTTGCTCAAACTATAACCATCGAGTCGGTGATGCCTTCCAACCATCTCATCCTCTGTCTTCCCCTTCTCCTTCCGCCTTCAATCTTTCCCAGCATCAGGGTCTTTTCCAGTGAGTCAGTTCTTTGAATCAGGTGGCCAAAGTATTGGAGTTTCAGCTTCAGCATCAGTCCTTCCAGTTAATATTCAGGACTGATTTCCTTTAGGATTACTGGTTTGATCTCCTGGCAGTCTAGGGGACTGTCAAGAGTCTTCTCCAACACCACAGTTCAAAAGCATCAATTCTTCAGTGCTCAGCTTTCTTTATGGTACAACTCTCACGTACACACATGACTACTGGAAAAATGAATCCACCTCTAATGCAGGAGACCTGGGTTCAATCCCTGGGTTGGGAAGAGCCCCTGAAGAAGGGAAAGGCTACCCACTCCAGTATTCTGGCCTGGAGAATTCCATGGATACTATATTATTCATTTGGGCTTCCCTGATAGCTCAGTTGGTAAACAAATAGAGACATGAATTTCAGATGAAAACAGAAGAAAATAAAAAAGGAGGAAAGAGGACTGGACTACTGGACTTGGGATTAGACAGCCTTGGGTTCTAGTTCCAGCACATGTGTGTGTGTGTGTGTGTGTGTGTGTGTGTGTGTGTGTCTGTGTGTGTTCAGTTGTGTCCAACTCTTTGTGTCCCCATGGACTGTAGCCTGCCAGGCTTCTCTGTTCATGGGATTCTGTAGGCAAGAATACTGGAGTGGTTGCTGCTTCCTACTCTAGGGGATCTTACTGACCAGGGTTTGAACAAGCGTCCACTGTCTCCTACATTGGCAGGTGGATTCTTTACCACTGAGCCACCTGGGAAACCCCGAGTCACAGTAGGGTCCTCACTAACTGGGTGACCCCAATGTGGGGGAGCGAGGGGGGAACCCATGGCTCCTGACTGATTTTCACTTGAAACCTCCTTGGAAGGATTTAATGATGCAGTGAGGCCTGAAGGACATTCTGCCTTCACAGTACCTGTGTCAAAGAAGCTTTGGGGTAAATATCAGGTTTCTTTCTGGTTTGAAGGATTTTGAGCAGCGGCTAGCCAAGTGAGGGAAGTCCCCAAACATTCCCAGTGGCCTCTGAAACCACACCCCCACCCAGAAACCTCCTCGCAGGTCTGTCTGCCTCTCAGTCTGAGCATTGAGAGCCCCTCCCTCCAGGTTTGAGTCCTTGCACAACTACATTTCTCCTTCTTTGGGTTCCAGACTTTACCTTAGTTTTCACCTCCGTGAAATGGAACAGATGGGCATACCCAGTAGCAAGGCGTCACCTAGGAGACACTGTAGCTTGATCTTGCCCCACCACCAGTGGAAAGATAAGGGAGCATTTCTGGGTGGCTGAGCTTTCTCTAGAAGGAGCTGTAATTCCTGCAGGAGAGAAGCCCTAGCTGGGCTTCGTAGGACGTGTAGGAGTTGGTAAAGACAGGCATTCTAGTCAGAAGGAGCAGACTGGGCAAAGGTTTGGAGTGGGCAAACAAACAGCCTGGGATTGGGGAAGCCAGAGGGATTGACTATCAGAAGATCAGTGTCACTGGAGCTGAGTTTGGCAGGACCTTCAGTGCCAGGCTGTGAAGCTGAGACTTCCCCTTTGAGTAATAGGGAGCCATGGAGGATGTGTAAGCAGGCCAGGGATCTAGAGCAGAGGCCTGAACTTAGAGGAAGCCAGAGAGCAGCTGGCTGTGGACCCAATCCAGGTCACACATCTCATGGGCAGTGACACATACAAGAAGGGAGTGGTAGACATACATTTGAAGGGTGGAGTAATCAGGACTTAGTTTGGGACTAAAGATGGGGAGTCAAGGAGAGATACCGGTGGAACAGACCACCTGCCCCAGTCTGGCTTTCAGGGCAGGGAGCTAGGCTTGCAGATGTGAGTCCCATTTGGGGACTGTGGTTTGAGGAGGCCTTCGGCTCTGCAAGCAAGGGTTTGCAACAGATGGTCAGAAGTAAGGGTTGAATGTCTGGGGGTTTTCTCACCCCTTCTTTTTTAACAGCTTTTAATGTACAATGCAATGAACTTTGGTTTATTTATAGAGGTGTACAACCACAATCTACTTTAAGAATGTATCTGTCATACCCCTCACCTTAAAATTAACCTCCTGCCCATTTAGTCACTCTTGCAACTTCTGAAGTGGATTAATAATAGTCCTAAAAAAAATAATATTACTTCTACCTTCATTAGCCCCAGCTTACAGCTTAGAAAACTGAGGCTTGGTTTCTATAGCCACAAGGGCTGGGACTGTTCAGTGGCAAAGTCACTCCCCCATAACCCATAGCAAAGAAGCAGAAAAGCTAGGAATCAACTCTAGGCTCCTAACATGTTAAGATCTCTGCTTTTTTTTTTGGTTGGAAAAGGAAAGTTTGCTTTGTTCAGGAGGTTGGCAACCTGGGGGGAAGGTGAACTCATGTCCCAAAACCAACTCCCAACATCACTGCTGTTTTAAGTGATATTTCAGGGCCTCTTGAGAAGGGACTAGGAGTAGGAAGCCTCAAGATTCCTCCTTGGGGAGTCTAGGGTGGAGCAGAGGGGTCTCAATGCCAAGCCACAGCTCATGCTGGCAATTTCCACTGGCAGGAAGATCCAGGCTTGGAATTCTTACCTCATGCAAAATGGAGACCCTGGTCTGTGAATACCCTGCCCACAGATGGTGGTTTCAGGGGATACTTGGGTTTGTTTGTTTGTTTGTTTGTTTTGAGCATCTGTGGGTTGTTCTTACATTTTTGACATTTCAGGGGATTGGCCAGTTTATTTGGGAAGCTTCAAAAGCAGGCTTCCGAAAGGCCTCGAATAGGTGTGGGTAGTCCAACCTCATTCTACAAACACAGAGCAGCTCCTGTGTGCCAACAGTACAACAGGGAACAATACAAAGATTCCTGCCCTCCTGGACCAACATTCCATGGCAGGAATAATAGAGAAACCAATGAACTCAGTCAATGATCTTGTATCTCAGAGGTGAGAGATGCTATGCAGAAAAATATAGCCAAAGAGAGAAGGAAGAACAGAAGTTTTGTTTTGTTTTCTTTTCTTTTTACAGCAAAGTCTAGAGACTGGGCAGCTTAAATATACTGTATTTATTTGCTGGGACTCTTGGCAATAGACTTTGAACTTCCTTTCCCACTTGTGACTCTCAGATGCTGCAGTGAATAAAGAATTGTTTTGCCTCCTTCACAACCACTTGGGGAGGTCTCACCAGGTTATCCTGAAGCTCTTAACATTCCGATCTGGCTTAGGTGGTTTGGGGAGTGTTCTGGGGAGAAAATGGTGAGGTTCCTGGAGCAGGTGTGTCCAGGACCCCAACACACCCACTGTGGGCAGGCAGCCAGCCTGTCCTGTTCACACTACACCCCTTCCCCCTGCAGGGATCCCGGAGCGCGTGGAGCTGCCTCCCCTGCCCCTCTGGCAGCCTGTAGATGAAGACCTCAACCTGAGCTGCCTGGTGTATGGCGGGGCCCCCAGGGACCACCTCTCCGTGGTGCTGCTCCGAGGGGAGGAGGAGCTGGGCCGGCAGCCAGTGGGAAAGGGGGAGCCCGCCGAAGTCATGTTCACGGTGCAGCCAAGAAGAGAGGACCATAGCACCAATTTCTCTTGCCGCTCAGAACTGGACCTGCGGTCGCAAGGGCTGGAACTCTTCCAGAACACCTCGGCCCCCAGGAAGCTCCAGACCTATGGTGAGGCACTGGGGAGCCAGCAGAGAAGATGGGATGAAGGGGATTTCTTGCTTGGGATGCGGGGTCCCTGGGAAGGAGAGGCCCCTGGCCACGAGGCTGCTGAGAAAGTGGCAACCTTGATTGCAAAGGCTTCTGGGAAGAGCATCTTGGCCACTGGGGTGTAATGTTCTAGGCTGGGTGCCTGCACTGCAGGATGATCTGAGAAGGCTGTGACCCAGGGCAAATGGTACATGTGTCCTGAGACAAGAGTGACCCAGCCAGTTTCCCTGGAAGAGGGCGTTCCAGGCGGGGGGGATGGAAATGGCCCGGGAGAGGGTTTTAGGATGTCTGTCTGCCCCCTCTCTGTTTACACTGGCTCTGTCTCGCCAGTCCTGCCATCAACCAAACCGCACCTTGAGGCCCCCCGGGTTGTGGAAGCAGGCTCACGGTGGCCGGTGAAGTGCACGCTGGATGGACTATTCCCAGCCTCGGATGCTGAGGTCTACCTGGTGCTGGGGGACCAGAAACTGGAATCCAATCTCACGTACAATGGTGACTCTGTCTCGGCTGAGGCCTGGCTGGAGGAAAATGAGGAGGGCACCCATTCCTTGAACTGTTCAGTGAAACTGGGAGAGAAGGATCGGAGAACGCACAGCAACGTGACCATCTACAGTAAGTAGAAACACAAGTGAGCCTTCTGAGGGGGTGGGGCTAATGCCAGGGGCGGGGCTCACTGTGTGTCTCACCTCCAGGCTTCCCGGTTCCCACCCTGACCCTGAGCCCACCTGAGGTCTCAGAATGGACTACTGTGACTGTGGAATGCGTGACCCGTGATGGAGCTGTGGTGATGCTGAACGGAGTCTCAGCTGAGCCTCCGGGTCCAAGGGCCCAAGTGAAGCTGAATGTCAGTGCCGATGACCATGGGAGCAACTTCTCCTGCTCTGCTGCCCTGAAGATAGCTGGGCAGGTGGTCCACAAAAACCAGACCCGGGAGCTCCATGTCCTGTGTGAGTGAGGCCGCTGGACAAGGACCCCTCAGTTCCAAGCCCCAACCACCAAGACCCTATGAGCTCCTGTCCTCCAAGGCCTACCCTCACCCCTACTAACCACGCCCCCCCCCCAATCTTGCTGTGTTTCTTCAGATGGCCCCCGACTAGACCAGCGGGATTGCCTGGGAAATTGGACGTGGCAGGAAGGCTCGGAGCAGACCTTGAAGTGCGAGGCCCGGGGGAACCCAATCCCCAAGCTGAACTGTAGCCGGAAGGGGGACGGGGCCTCACTGCCCATCGGGGACCTGAGGCCTGTCAAGTGGGAGGTGGCGGGCACCTACCTGTGTCGGGCCACCAGCGCTCGTGGTGAAGTCACCCGTGAAGTGGTCCTGAACGTGCTCCGTGAGTTCGAGTTCTGGGATGGGCAGGGCAGGGGCAATTTGGCCAGCTCAACGCTCACTGCTGTCTTGTGTCCTCCCCACAGATGGCCAGAATATCCCGGGTATTGTCATTCCGGTAGTAGCTGTGGCCCTCATCTTGGGTGCTCTGAGCACTGCCGGTTACATCTACAACTACCAGCGGAAGATCCAGATATACGAGCTGCAAAAGGCCCGGAAGGCCCAAGAAGAGGCTGCCTTGAAACTGCATGCACAATCCACACCACCCTGAACCCATTCCAGGATGAGACCTCTTCAGCTCCCCAAGCCATGACAAATGGGGCTGCATCAACCAATGGTGGACATATGCTGTTAAGCTACACCCACCTTCCCTGGATGCCAGAGGACCAAATAGAGGACTCAGTCAGGACAAACAGCATCTGGGGTCATGGCCTCTGCACAGTTATGACCCCCAGACCTCACACCTGACCTGGAGCCAGAGGACTGAGACAAAAGAAGGGGCCAAGACTCAGGGCATGACTCTGAAGGATGTCACAGTCTGACCTGGCTGGAGGCTGTGTGATGGAGACCCTTATCTCCAGCATGGGGACACTCAACTGGGAAACATTGAAACTCACCCACTGCTGCATGTGCTGAGGCCCTACAGTCCTAAGAGAGACGTGGGCCTGCTCAGACACATGCAGCATTGAAACACAAATCCCCACACTTCCTCTGAACAGAAACCAGCTCCGGCATTACTGTCCACAGACGGTTCCCAAATCTTGATGATGACATATTTATTCACTGTTTTTTCTACTAGCTATTTATTGAGTGCCTTCTATGGGGGCTAGAATTTGTAAACAAGAACATTGATTCCAGCCCTCAGGGAGCTCTCGGTCGAATCTCATTCAGGGTCGTCAGGTACAGTTATTCTGGCTCTGCAATGCACACGAGTGCCTGGCAAAAAGATTAAGTGGGGCTAGGATTTCCCACTCCATTGGCCAAGCTGCTTTCTCCCAGAAAGGGATTAGTAATGATAGGGTATTGCTGGTGACATGCCCAGAGATGACCCACTGAGCCCTTATACCCCAGAACTAGCACTGACCTCTGTTAAGACACCTCTCCACCCATATGCATCTCTGTTAATGCTCACAATGACACTTGGTGGTTGTTTAGTCACTAAGTCGTGTCCAACTCTTGTGACCCATGGACTGTAGCCTCCCAGGCTCCTCTGTCCATGGGATTCTGACACTTGGTGGCAGGCCTACATGTCAGTGCTCACTCGTTGATAGCAACACCCCAGGGTCGCATGAAACTCTGCCCAACTCCTGTGTGCCCCTGCCTTGCCCTTCCTGTTTCCATCTCAGTGGGACCACACAGCTCCAAATTCCTGCAGCGATGAGGGTCCTGCAGGCAGTGGGGAGGAGAGGCCTGGGAGTAGCCCCTCCCAGCGTGGGAAGCCTCTCCCTTGTGCTAATAAAGCTGTTTCATCCTCCCAGCCTTGTGTGAGTTGAGAGGAGGTGTCGTGTCCAGCTGGAGCCCTTTCTACCAGTTTTCCCACTTCCTGCTCCAAGAAAAGGCTGCCAGTTCAAGGCCCAGCTCTCAGGCGCTAATCCAAATATGAGGTTTATTAGGGCCTTTGGAGACTTTAGTGAAAAAGAAAAAAATCTTCTCCAGAAAAAAACATGACGTTTGTTTTGGAATGGCGTCGAGAGTCCATTTTTTAAGCTGCGGGAGTGGGGTGTATCCTGCAAGGCTCCTGGGCCCCTCGGTCCCTGTCTCTCACCCCCACCCCTTCCCCACTCCCCCCGCTGGGTGGGGCCGAGGAGGCGGTGCTAGGAGCCTCCTTATCTCCAGAGCCAGCCGTGGCTCCTTGGCGCCCAGCCCTTCAGTCCGGGCTTTTTGCCATGGGGTCTCTGCTTCTCGTCTTGCTACTGCTTTTGCTGTCGCCCTCCTACCCGCGAGGCGGGAGCGCGCGGAGGCGTCGGAGTGCGCGGACGCAAAGCCCGGGGGGCCGCTCTCACCCACCGTTCTGGGTGCGCGTAAGCCCCGACTTCACGGCAGTGCCGCTGGGGGGCTCACTGTGGCTCAACTGCAGCAGCAGCTGCCCCCTCCCGGAGGGTTCCAGCCTCCGCACCGAGCTGCGGCGGGGTGAGACGCTCAGTGGGCCCCGCTGGGCAGCCTACCAGCTGCTGGATGTGAGGGCCTGGAGTTCCGATGTGCACTGCTTCGTCACCTGCGCGGGAGAAACGCGGGGGGCCACCGCCAGGATTACAGCCTACAGTGAGGGACAGGGCTCAAGCCGGTCTGGGGTGAGGGGAGGAGGACGGAGTGGGGGTACTTGACAGTCGCGCTAGAAGGAGCCCTCCCACCTTGCCCAGCGGCGCCCTCTTGCTTTAGAACAGCCAAGCAGCGTGATCCTGGAGCCTCCGGTCTTAACGGGCAGTGACTACACTCTGCGCTGCCACGTGACGCACGTCTTCCCCGTGCGCTTCTTCGTGGTGGCTCTGAGGCGCGGTGGCCGAGTCATCTACTCCGAGAGCCTGGAGCGCTTCACCGGCCTGGATCTGGCCAACGTGACGCTGACTTACCTGTTACCCTCCCGGCCCCGTGACTCTGGGCAGCCCGTTACCTGCCACGCCCGCCTCAATCTCGACGGCCTGGTGGTCCTCAGTAGCTCGTCACCCGTGACGCTGCCAGTCCCCGGTGAGGCACCCTTATAATCCTGGGAGGAATGGGGAGGTGTTATGACCCCAAGACGGGGCGTGGGCCAAGCTAGAGCATGTCCATGGGGGTCGTTACACCTCCAAGCGCTGTTTCTAATTCTCCCCTCCTATTCCCAGCTTGGAGTCCTGCGTCCAAAGCCTTGGCCTCTACCTCCATCGCAGGCTGTGTGGGGATCTTTCTTGTCATGGGGGCCCTCTGTCTGCGAAAGTACCTATCGATGCAGCCTCCAGCATAGAGGCATTGGTCCTTGCAGGCTGAACTGGAGGAAAAAGGAATCTGGGAAAATTGGTGGAACCTTGCCTGGATCAATAAAGACTTTCTCAGCAGCTCTGCCCCTGGGCATAAAGTTCCCGTATTAGGGCACCTCCTATGACTGAAGTGGTCTTCTTTTTTGGCCTAGCCTCTTTCATTTTTCTCCAAGTTCCTTGTCTCCCTGAGGGCCCTTGAGGTTTCCTCACTCTGGTCTCCCATACCGGAGCCCCAATCCCTCTGCATTGCCAGCTTGTGTAGTAAAAACCTCTCTCCTGGTCATTATCAGTGAGGAGCAGAAAGGCAAAACATGGGCCCTAGGGGGCTTCGGGATCTGAGAAGGCGGCTTCCTGGTGTGGCTTCTTCTGATTGGCTCCAGCGCTGCCACACAGCAGCTCTGATTGGATGTTAAGTTTCCTACCCCGCCCCCTTTAGACCTTGCACTTTACTGGAGGGCAAGGGCGGGGCAAGAAGTAATCCCCTGAGTTCACCACTAGCTCTACGAGGGAGGGCACAGGTGGGCGGGGTCATATGTATATTTTGAGGGACCTGGATCTGCAGAAAAGATACCCGGGCGGTGACTGAGGGGAAGGAGCAACCATATGGTGTGTGTGTGGGAGGGGGCGGGTGTGTGTCATAGACTCGCAGCCTGGAAATATCCTGATAGTCACCCGGCCAGGTGGACACATGGAGAGAGTCCAAATTTGGGGCCCAGAGGCAGGGTTAAAAGTATCACAGTTGGCCTCTTGGCCTCTGGTGGACACAGAATCCAGGCCTACAGCGGATGCCTGGCAAGGCCCGTCTGGTCCAGGACCCCGCCCGCCGCGCAGAAAGCGGATGGGGACGCTCTTCGGCGGCTCCAGGTCACACACGCCGCGCAGACACGTGCCTGCTGCACGCTGGGTAAATACAGACCCAGAGCCGAGCCGACCCTAATTTAGACGCCCGAGAACGCAGCGCGCACGCACACGTGTTCCCAACTCGCTGTCACTTTCGTCCCCGCCCCTTCTGTCGCGTGCGGGGGCGGAGCCAGAGAAAGACTAGAGGCGTGGCTGTAACTCTCAGCTCCCAGGGGTTAAAGGGGGAAGGATCAGTGAGCGAGGCATCTCGAAATCTTCTCCTAGAACCTTCCCACCCCCAGCTTCCGCTTCTCAGATCTCTCCTAGCCCCCAACTCAATCCCCGCCTCAAGGGGCTCTGGTGGGAGGGATTAAATATGGAGATGGAGTTCGGAGTCCAGCTCATTATGGAATCTAAGCAAGTGGTGGGTGGGGGTTTGCGAAGGACAACCCTACATCCCCCACAACCTTCGCGTCGCCGCCGGGGATGACGCGGGAGCGCGCAGCCGCCCCCAGAAGGCTCCGGGCGATGGGGCCGGCCTCCATGTAGACCCCGGGGGTCGCTAGCTCCTGCCAGCACGCCTTCACCAAGGCCGGTAGCCTGGTGCAAGCTCGCCTTCCCGCCCCCTACCGCCGCCACTGCTGCCGCCCCCTCCTTGGAAACCAAGTTACCAACGTTAAACCAATCCCCGAGCGCAACTCAGCCTCCTCCACACCCCACCCGCCGCGCAGCGCCGTCCTCTAGCCCAGCTCAGCGCTCGCGGTCCCCTCGCCTCCTGCGCTTCCCCCGCGGCGGCGATGCCAGGGCCCTCGCCAGGGCTGCGCCGGGCGCTGCTCGGCCTCTGGGCTGCCCTGGGCCTGGGGCTCCTCGGCCTCTCAGGTAAGCCGGTCTGGCTGAGGGTGGACAGGGTGGGGGCGGAGTTCCCGAACCCGAGAAGCGGCCACAAGCTCCTCCCCTCTCGGCCCTCGCCTCGCTCCCACGCTTTTGCTCCCACCTTGAGCCCCGGGGCCTTCTTCTTTAACCCTCTTCACCCCAACACACACTGAAGACCCAGCTTCCTGACTTCTCGCTCCCCCAGGTCTCTACCCTACCTTCTTCGAGATCCTGGGTGCTCTTTTGCATCCATCCTCGAGCTCTGGAGCCCCCACGTCTCCCTTGACCCCTCCCGGGGTACCTCCTTATATTCTACTATGCATCATAGTCCCTACGGCATCTTCCCTACTCGAAATCAACGAAGACCCGATCTCACCAACTGACGTGACTCAAAGGCGCTGTTTCCGCTCCCCTCGGAGCCCTGGCAACCGAGTCCATCGGCTGTCGGCTGTTCCCGCGGTTCTTTTCTTGAGCCCAGCCCCAAACCTCTTCCTGTACTCTTCACCTCTTCACCGGGGTTTGGAATCCTCCCTTACCCGTGCTTGACTCAGTCTCATCTCTCTTTCGACACCCCCTCCACTTCAACCACAGTCTCCCTCTCTCT